TTCATTAATTTTTTGATCATATATATTATAATCCATAATGACGGTCGCATTACCTTTATCAGCAGGCAAAATTTTGATTGTTTTATCTTTTTTTACAGGGGACATTAATGCTTTTTGCTCTATTAAGCTTATGTTTTGTTTAATTTTGAAAGGTTTTTCTAGAAGTATTTTTGATCTTATACGAAATTCTTCCTGTTGTTCTTCAGGTAAATTTAGTGTGTAAATAGTAAGTACTAGGTGATAGTTCTTGATTACTTTTTTATAAATAATTCGTTCTTATTGCGAAATAGGAGCACTATTTATCAATCTGTAATAAAAGACGTGAGACGTGAAATTCTGTATTTTTTAAAAACAAAAATTTTTGAGGCGAAATACCCAAAAAGAAGTTTGTAAAAAAAATGAATCCGCCTCAACAATATAGAACTTATCTAATTTCTTTCATGTCATAATTTATAATTTTATAACAAAACCCCAATTTCAGTTTTCTCTAGATATCAATAAACTGAAATTCATTTTCTTTTTCTCAATACTGACTTCATTCCTTCCATTTTCTGAGTACATGGAAAAGCGATTGATCAAACTGTCCAAGCAATGAATTAAAAGCTGGCCCATGTTAGGAAACATCGAGATTAAGAAAATTAGAGCTTTTAATCATAAGTCGACTTGTGACCCTAAAAACGTTTTTTTCTTATTTTGTATTCTTCTGACAAAGTAAATCAGTCCAGGGGGCAAAACGCCAACATAAAACGGCACTCGATATGTAACAGCGGCTAATGCCAAACGATAAGTTAAACATTTTTAGGTCTCTGTTGGTGCCGCTAAAAAGAAAACAATAACGTCGTCCCATTTACTCACGAATTAAGATCATTGACATTTGTAGGAACAAGGGAATTAAAAATCTTTAATCACAAAACCGTTTAGCAAAATTGCCGACTAAATTGAGAAACGGGATAAATAACCTCGCTCTAGATTGACTCAGAAAAGGCTTTAAACGATGTGCCGCTGTTAAGAAAGTAATTAAGCCATTTGTAAAGAAACAGGACTTTGGACCATGAAACTAATACTGGTTGCTTTTTCCACGAAAACTCAATTAACAGTTTCAGGGTATATTTGAGGCAATGTCGTAATCCCTTCGTAATTTGATTTTACATAGTTTATTGAACCCCTATGTAACCAAAATAAAACTGAATATACTTAGAATACGTGTTTCACTAATTGTTGAATAATGGCAATGTATTAGGAAACATGTACAATTAAAACAAAAGGGATTTATTAATGTTCAAATATATTTCCTTGCATGGAGATAAGTAGGAACTTCTGTGAAATTATTCTGAAGCCATGTTATTTCAAATATGCTTGGAAAAGTAGTTTTCTGAACTACATTTGGGTTAAATGACTCAATTGCATTCGAAGTTGAGAGCAATCGACTAAAACTCTAGATGTATGTATTTATCTGATAGACACTGTCTGTTTGACCTTTAAGGCAGAGTAAATATTGCTCCAAAAATTTAACACTTCAAAGTAATAGTCAACTTTATACTGAAATAATCTGCTTTCAGTACACACACATTTTCTGAAAGCGCCATTATTTCAAATAAAATAGAGCAATTATTAATAATTTATGTCATCAGAATTAAATATTTTAGTAGTCGCTTAATATAACAAAATTTATTGCACCTCTGGCTACTGTTGTTCAAATATCTCCAGTTAAACTCACGTTTATTGGCCGTAAACTCGACGTATACAAGCAATGCAGAGATTACTTACTTAAAACTAAATGAAAATAAATGCAAGTAGACAAGAATCCTGCAGAATTAATCCTTACTATGTGGAAAAATACAGCACACCTTAATTTAAGAGATATGTACCAATAAAATGGATAATGCATAATTCAGTACAAAGAGCGTTCCCATGTTTATCCAGAAACCCGTGATAATTAAGATTGCCGAAATTCGTGAGTAGGTGAGTAGATTTTATTGCCAGTAAAAATTATATCAGTTAATTGAAAAGTTAATTAATGGAACATTAAAGTAGAAGGCAGCTGTATATGAGACTATCACGACAGTTAACAACCCGGTATTAACTGTCATGAATAAAGGACATAATAGAAATACTTTCAAATATAAAAAAAGCTTTAGCAACTGAAAATGTAAGCGAAACCGTATGAAGCCCATAAGAACGTTTAGCAGTTCTCACTAAATTTTATTCTGGCCACTGGTCACTTTTAAAGGGGGTCAATAATAAACGTCTGTCTGCAATATATAATAATTTAATGTATAATAATATAATAATAAATCATACAAGGATAATACCGATGAAAATTATTGTCTTTATAGTAATAAATGTCTCTCAAACTCAAGCGAAGAATGAGTTTGCCCATGTTCTACTGATTTCTTTGAAACTTTATAAAAACGATCTTTCACTTATTTAGCCATTATTTGTACTAGATTTTTGAAGTTTCTGGCTTGATAGTCATGAAAATTATCTTTCCACATTCAGTTTTACTGTAGGATAAATCGAAAACGAATCTGAAGTTATACAGTAAACTACTCAACTCTAAAAACCAAGCATTTTAATTCCTTGAAATATCAAGTAAAATGCAAAATTCCTACTTCGAACTCACAAAGGCATAATTCAGCGATAAAGCACTTGTTTGGGTTAACAAATAATTAACTTCAAATCTAATTACCTCATCCAAATCGGCATAACCAAAACATGTTTTTTGTTCATTTTAATCATTATTACAAAACCCTTTTTTAGTTTAAGGACTGAGTCAGGAAAAAGCGTTAAACATATAAACCGTTCTAACTCTTCACAAAATCAAAAAACTAAAATTCCAATCATAGAGGCTCTTCCTTAGAACCTCTAAATGATTTTGACATATTAAACATCGAACTGTACATATGGTTTAGTACCTAGAGATATTACATCTGAATTGGAAGTGCGTGAACTAATAATCAGAAATTTTATGAAAATTCATTGCGGACCCACCGAAAAATAGCCACAGAGGTAAAAGTTTACAATAACGATCGTATCAAACGTTATTAAGCTGTTCAATCAAACATTAAGTGTTAACCAAAAAGTGAATTCCAGGAAAAAATAAAAAATCTCTGTCAAAACAAATAATTTCGGCTTCTTTTTTTTAGATAAGTTCTATATTGTTGACGCGGATTCATTTTTTTTTTAAACTACTTGTTGCGTATTTTGCCTCAAAAATGTTTATGTTAAAAAAAGACAGAATTTTCTCACGTCTTTTATTACAGATTGATAAATAGTGGTCGTATTTCGCAATAAGAACGAATTATTTATCAAAAGTAATCAAAAACTATCACCTAGAGGGTATCCTGTGAAACACTTAGGCTCAAGCTGTAAGAGGAAATTCCAATTAGTAAAGAAATTAATTGTGTAACAATAGTAGGATAATAAAATATGTAAAAATTCGCTCTGATAATTCGTCTGTGCAAATTGTCTATTCTTTTTTTTATTACTCGTAATAAAATCATCTTTAAAACGCTTTTTGTTTCATCATAGAATTTTGTCAAGGGTTCGTAAGTTATTAAGGTTTTTGTGTGTAGCGATGTTTTATGACTCAGTTCTAATTAGTATTTATATGCGAGATATGTAAAATTATCATCATTCTTTACAAGTATACAAAATGTATAAAAAAAATATAATGTACCCAATATTGAGATATTTAAACATCAGTATCATTCTACAACAATTCAAAAATAGCCATAGCCATATTTAATATTTTCTTGTAGTATTAATAAATTATATTTTAATTAATTTTGAACTAAAAATAATGAATTAATACAGACATAATTAAATATTTTTATATTTTATTTATATTTTATATTATTATATTTTATAGATGATAGTCCCAAAAAAGCGAACTGCTCTTCTCGTCAATCGATTGATGGTGGCATTGAAGGATGCTCTAGAAGAAGAAGAACGAGAGAAAAATCCAACAATTTCCAGTGTTTTTGGCAGTTCGGGAAATCTATACTCGGACGACGTAAGGACAGTAAGTTTGTCATTTAATTAGCCGCTTATTATAATATTTAAGCACAAGAGTCACAATTATTTGACTAAATAGAATTCTCCTCTTTCGGTTAATAGAAACAATTCGACAAATAAGGACATTTAAATCAAAACAGATGAAACGTGCTGATTGAAAAACATATTTTGCTAGAAAAACTTCCATTTTTCGTCCAAAAAGCTCAATTTTTTCAAAAAAGAGACCCGCCTATTTTCAGACGAAGCAAATAAAAATTGTGTTAAAGTTAGCAAACTGTAAAATAACTGGTGATTGTCAAAAAAATTTAACTGAATGACAAATTCACATATAGTTGAAACAACTAACATAAATAATAAGTTGAACACAAGAACGTGTCTAAGGAAATAATGAGTCCAGTATCATCAAAATAATTTACGGTATTATTTGTCTCTTGGGCACTTTTCGAAAAACGGAATTACTAAACAAAAATAAAAAATTGAGAAACAATCTTCAACCTATTGAACAAATCAAAAAATAACATTAATCTTTGTTTGTAACATTATTTTGGAAAAAAAAATCTTTTTAAAATTGCTCACAGAAATATGATCACAAGCATATGATATACGACTGCTAATATTTTCGGTGAACTTTTCATTGAGTTTCTAATAATCTAACATTAGTTTTCATGTTCTGTCCTCATTTATTGCTTGAGTTTATTTTAAACTTTGTTAAGCAGAATATTAAATGTTAACTTATCTCAACAAAAGCTAGAAACCGTTCTTTCTGCAATTACTGCACCTTGATCTACTTGTTCAAAGTCCAAAGCGTACAATGTGCAAAGATCAATTTTTCTTATAATTGAATACCTTAAAACCGATATTTGATTTATTATTATGATAGATTGATTTGATTTATTGGTACATAATTTTCTTCGAGTCACGGACACCCTTTATATAAATATATAATAGTTTTTAAACGAATTTATTCAAAATTATAATTATTTGACAATTAACACGTAAAATTGGTTTGAAAAAAACGTGCGGTAGAAAATTCTTGCAGAAAACTTTCATATCCTCTTTCATCGGGCTGTATTTTGCGCAAAAACCTCGTTAAAATGTTCTATTTATAACGTCAACACCGGCCTCGAAATGTATTTCTATTAACAAAACCACTTTGAAGTTTTAAAAATATGGATGTACATAGTTAGAAAACGAAGTCAAGAACAGGAGTTAATTTCAAAACTTTACGAGTTGGTTTAAATTGGCCTCCAGTTGTAATTTTATAAAATGCATAATTCTTTTGTGTTAGTGATTACATTTTTAACTTGCAAATCAAACTTTCATATTGCTCATTGTTATTATAAACAGCCATGAACTGTGTTGATGGGAGAATATATTCAAATAAAAACTAATTCGTTGTATAATTTCAAATAAGTTTATATAGCCCATAGCTGGGATTTAAAAATATTACGTTGTTAATACAGATAAACAATTTGAAAAATTCGGTCGTGAAAATAAAAAGGATAACACCATAACAGGTCTAAAATTATACTAATACTTTCCAAACAGTCTCAACCACGTAATGCACATCAACTTAGAAACATTTTTTCTCAAAGAAAATTCAATTTACATAAATACTACGATCAAAACCGAAACATTTTATACAAATATCAACATGTGGTTTGCTGGATTCAAGGATGACACATTTTCTATGTGGTAAATGTTCGAAAGTCCCTCAATTCTGAAATCCCGTTTAATGAGAGCGACGTTTCCAAGATAACCGGATAGTTCTAGGGAAAATGACAAAATAAATTATTGTGTTACGTGTTTATCAAACAATACGGCTTGTAATAGAGCGCTGTAGTATTTTACAAATGTAAACACTGTAGGCCTGGATATAATTTCAGCAATGTCTTTTTGAATGCCGTGTATCCAGGTATCATAGAAAGTGTCTGAGCAAGCCCTAAAATTAACAGATTAAAAGCCAATTTTAAATTTATTAACTTAATAGCAATAATAAAATGGGAAGCAGTTCTCCTTAAATACAGTAGCGTTGTAGTTTTATCAACAAATAAATAAATTAGCGCAAACATTCTTTTAAGAAATTGCCATCAGTTATTTTATCAAAATATTCATTTATTTAAGTGCCGCAATAATCGCAATACATAATGATGGTTTTGGAAAATTAACGATTTATTCAAAAAATTTAGAAAAAAAACCGCAGAAACTAAACATGGAATGTAAAGTAGCGTGTGATATTACAAAATCATACTCTGCACTAATCAGTAGTATTTAAGTTCTGAAACTGGTGAACTTTTCGATATTTTATTTTGACTTTCTTTTCCAGGGCGACCAAAAAGTCCGAAAAACTCTTCTCTTCTAAAGCTTATTTATATCTAAGTTTTATTTAACTTCTGAAAAGAAATATTTTACGCAATCAAGTATAATCAACTCAACCTGCAATAACTATTACACTTAGAAATCTAGTTTGAAATTTAAAAAATTGTTACTTTTATATTAACCAAAACTCGACCCAAGAGGTCAAATCTCGAAGTATTCTTATTAATAATAAGTATAAATGATTAAAATATCTGGGACATTTTCGGTAAATTGTTTGTGTAGTGCAAACTTGTAATAAACCCTTAAAACACACGAACACATATAGACTAGATCGAAAGGCGGCAACTTAAAAAAAATAAATTCTTAATTCAGCGTCATTTTGCGTCAAAAATACTATATACTGTGGATGCAACTGCATTATTCAAACCATTGCAAAACCATTATGATTCTGTTTCATAAGTTAAGTAAGGTCAAAAAACCGTGGAGAAAATTCTAGTGACGCGATTTCTAATAATTCGGGCCTTTTGTGTCTTATTTTTCACTTCCCTCATATAGATGTCGGAGGAAGCTCTATTAATTATCATTCACCATTGAGTAAGCAGTTAACTGCCTGACCAAGTAAAAACAAAACGCTTAATTGCAGCTTATTTCTTAATAAGAAGTGAGAATTAATTTTATGAATATTGTTTTTCAGATGGACCTTCAACGCAGAGGACATCAGCCATCTTTATCAAATGGACAAAACAAACCAAGACTTTACTGGCGCTGCTACTTCAACGCAGTCACCTGCTTCTAAATTGCATTTTTCTTTCAAGTAATATGTCGTAACATTACTTCTGTTATTATTTAAGTATTTAAAAAAACATGATATAGATTTTTATTCGTGCTAGTATAACAAGTATTTCACAAATACAACGGGCAATCTATTAGGGAATCAAGATTTAATATAATTATGCTACATGAAATACTTGACCTGCCTTGATTTTAGATATATGCAAAATAAGTTCCTTACTATCCTTCTATTAATTACTTTAAAAGTATTTTTTTTTAGAAATGTGTATTAATTTGTTTCATCTTTATTTCGTCTTATAATGAAAGAGGGAAGATTTTACTTGCCAATAGTTTTCTATTCATTTTTGTTATCTGCGGAAAGTGTGTTGAGCGTATTTATTTAATTAGTATTTATTTGATTCCAAAAATGTCTGCAAGTTGATGATATGATAAGAGCGTGTTCTCCTTTCCATAGGTGAATGAATGACCGAAAGTAATAGAAAAAACAAACTGTTGCAAAATAAATGCAGTCAATGAAAAACAAAAATTCTTCTCGTTCTTGGGTAATTTTCATGCACGCATTTCAATAAAGAGAAGAATTAGGAGAACTTGGGGTTTGGGGGAAAGTGGGGTGCGCACTTTATAGATTACCATTACCTCATTAATTCAATACAAAACTGTAAACTTGTTCCTGAGCAAATTTTAAATGTTACTGTACTTAAATGTATTATTGATTTAATGATGGACTATCCGAAGACACTTTCCATTAATGATTTTTCAAGTTAAACGAACGATTCTTAATAGAAAGCAATTCAGAATCAAAGTATAGACACCTGCTATTATTTAATCTTAATGACAATAGATATAAGTACGTTTACTTAAACTATTAAAACCTCAATATACATGTATTCAAATGTATGTTTTAGCAATAGTTCTATATTTAACTTTCATACGAATACTCTAATATATGTAGTGCAAAAGATTTAATGGCTATAATTTGACATTGTGATCGGTCTCAATTCGAAAAAGCATTTAAGGAGAGAATTTGATTTTATTATAATTTAAAATATTTTGACAAATATTGATGAACAAAACAAGTACTTATTCCAATCTACCAATATTTGTATCAAAAATTAATTCCAAAATAAATTATGCGTACATTTTGTGGAGTACATTGGAGACCAGATATTCTAAATATCGCTTGTTTGTTCTTTAATGTCATTATTTGGGCCTATTTAAGTTAATTAAAGGAAAATGTTGTGACCCTTTTTTTGCTAACACATAAAGTTGCGTCCATTCCTTATTTGCCGAATTCCTGAATAGCGAAGTGCCTATTCAGGTTTGTTTAAATTATACCAATATGCAGGATTTTTATTTTATGACTTTTTTGCATCATATAGTTTTTTAGTATAAAATTTCCAATAAATATAGATATACACATTTTCAAAGAATCACATTCTTATAGACATGTTAATTTATATAGTCCACACACACCACATTAAGGTTTCAGGTTTCCTTTTGAGTCGCCCTATATTATATCAACCTTTTATACTACTTACATATAACATCCAATTATTTTTATATATACAGGTGTTCCGATAGGTTTTGAAATTAGCATTTCCATGTCTGCTGTTTTAAGATAAAAATAATTTAACATTCAATTTAATTCTTTGGGCGAATGAAAGATGATTAAGTGGTAATGATCCAATACCCTACTTTGCGTACTTTACGAGAGGTAAAATGGCAGTCTTGATAATTTTGGCGACTCTTGGCAAATAAATTATAAATTTAATGTAATAAAACAAATTAATATTGTATGAATTACACTTCAGTCTTTTCATTCACTACGCATAGCCGCATTATCATAAACATCAAAGACGAGCTTTTGAAAAATACTGCATAACTTATTTTCGGTTAAGCCTCATTTGAATATATTAGAATTTATATCAAATATTGCGATAACGATAAGATGTTCAGTATTTACACTGACATATTAATTTCTAATAATTGCTTGAAAAATATCTTGTTAAAAACTGATAGTGATAACTTGAAAATAATTTTACAGGGATCAGTTTTATGAATGTTTTTGTATTGTTCATCACATGTAGCGAATAAATGAGTCTCTCTAATTTATTCCGTCTATGGTAAACCGTCGTTTTTAAATATATTACTGCTGAGTTTCAAGTATTTATAATCAAAACTTATAAGAACAAATTCTACAGGTCACAAATATTAGTGCAGCGCCTACAATAATTTCATAATCCAAAATACACAGTTTTACTATTCTATGAACGGAAGTACGGTGCAAATTAGTTATGATAAGAGCTATAACAATTGAAACGGTTTTGTTATGTTTAAATAATCATTGTGCAATTTTAGTTATGCAGATTGGGGTTTAAATTATATCAAAGTGATTATCGATTTCGATGCACGTCCGCGGAATAAATGCATAATTATCGAACAGCAATTCAAACTGGAAACGATTTTTTTTTAATTTCTAATAAAAATGCAAATTGATTAGTGAAGTAAATCTTATTTACCACTACCTGGCAAATCCAGTTTAAACAAATATATTTTTTAAGTTTTTGTTTAGTGTATTTTTGTCATAAAAATATATTAATTTGAATTACTTTAACTAATATTACTTTCAATAATTACACTATAAAAGCATGCATAGTCGTACTTGTAAAACTATGTTTAAATATTACATGTATGAAAGCCCAATTGATTAAATTTACTCTGTATAATTAACCTGATATTTTATGTTAAAATTTAATTATCGATAGGAAGAAGGTGACTACTTGTACTATATAGAACTTACTGAACAAACAAATAAACATAATTGAATAGTTTTTACTGCCTGCATTTTTCGAAGCGATTTTCCTTGACATTCCGGTCGTATAAAATCAAGCTACTAAAGTTAAAGAAAGAATCATCTATGTTTAATAGGACCTGAATCTATGTGTTAATAGTGTTGAGTAGAGAAAACATCAATTTATTATATTTTATTCTGTAATCTTAAAATTAAAATATGAAATGGGTCCAAAATGGCTTTCTGTAATAATGCCAAGAAAATATTACAGCTAATTATTGAGTTTATTATTAATTTCTTAAAACGTTTGATATCGAAAGCGGGAAAATAATTATTCCAGAAATACGCTATTGAAATTTTTTCAATGGGTCGCACGAAACTCTTGCTTTATTTTGTCAAACGCAAAATATAAACATTTGAGACAGCTGAAAAGTGAGAATAATTGTCGTTTTTCTGATTTGTAAATTTTAAAATATTATAAGCAAAATTATTCCATCCACTAATATTCTTTTACAGCCTTAAAATAGGAAAAGTGATATAAACCGTTCGGTTTGGACGTGGACATTTAAAATTTCAATTAGATGAACAGATGGTGAACAGATGAACACAGCACATTCGAATTTTCAATCCTTTTAGGCATAGTTGAAAACACATTCAAAATTTATCACATAGGTTGCAGCACTAATGATGAGATTATACAGGTTATAGAAGCAAGAACAAAACGCTAATGCGTTGCATATATTGCTATTACACAAATATATCCAATCTAAGCCAATATCTAACTTAACAGCTGAAATTTACGAGTTTATTAAATAATAATAATTGTTGTATACATACATATAGGTATTTTGCCTGAAAGTTTTGTGGTTTTGATAAACGCAAATTTCCTCATGTTCTTTTTTCATTGTGCATTGATAATAAAAATGTCTTCTTATTTAGAAAACGACTAGTATATCAAAACGCAATATAAACTTATTTATTTATATTAATATATATTTATTTATTAATTATTTTTCTCAATAGTAAATAATAGGCTTACTAAAAAATATTAATTTTTGGTCACCATGAGGGAATTGAAAATATCTCATCGACCACCACATTAGAGCTTAAAATTATAGGTACTTGTAATGTAATGTGAACCGTGTGTGTTCTCTTTAACAAAAAAATGTCTGTGAAGTTTGATTAAAACTGTTTGTAAAAATGTGGTGTTTAGTAAGGTAAATCATTTGTTCTACAAGGCACTGAACATTTTATTAATAAAAGTATTATATTATTAGGCAAATTACCTGCCATTTCCATCACCATTACCTGACTTTGTTTTTATTATTATAGTCATGTCTGATTATGGAACGGATGTAGTAACGAAACGTTGCCCATTTTACTGTGTAGGCATGTTAAACTAAACACGAAATTTTCACAGGAAGGGTTGAATAAATGACACTTTCTGTTAGTATAAAAGGTTCAATTTTATATCAATATCAATGCTTTAAAATGAAAAATTTTATAGACACAGTTAAAGTTTCAAGCTTGTCTGGAACTTTATTTATTAGATAAGGCCGCCCAATGAAATATAAGATTCTACGTCAGTTGGCAAGTTATTAGGTGTTTGTTTCCTCCATTATCCAGTTTTGAGATCAAATATCCTGTTATAAATGTGATTAACTCACTGCAGGCAAGTTTGCTGTTGATTTCGTGGAGACTTGCACTTTTTCGATGCTAGAAAAGATTCTTCCTCGTCGAACTTGAGCGGCTGTAGAAATAATATTGAAAAATCTGTGTTTGTGTATTCAATGGATTTCATCCTTGATCGATATTTTGATCAAAGAAAAGTTCGGGGCAAAACTTTGCAGACGGACGACAGACAATGCTTGACAATAAGGTAAGCTAATATATCAATTATCATTTCCTTAGACATTTCTTGAAACTGCTGATTAAAACCTAATTTCACATCACTCAGTTTTCAAATATCCTTAAATTATTAATTTAGAATATTCCACTTCATCGCACCTACATCTCCAAAAATTTATAAAATTACAAACATAATTCATCCTTTGCTTGTTTCAGTCGATATCTAAAATCTATTTACATGCATATTTTTTTTGCATTAAATTGTAATGTTTGCTCGTAAAATGAAAATCAAAGGGAGTTTATTTAAATAAATGGAAATTTAATTTTCCTATTGATTAAATATTTCGAATGGAATATTTCCATCCAATATACAATTACTGAATCTATCAAATAGGTTGTTACGTGTGAAATAAGAAATATGTATTTATTTGTTTTTGTTGTGTGCAATTGTTTAATTTATCAAAGCTTATGAACTGCGGGAGGTTTCCAGCAAATCATATTTAAATAAAAGCCCATTTTTGGATGAAAACCTTGACAGTTAAATTTGAAACGTGGAAGAAATATAACAGAAGAAAACGCTTCTAAAAAAGCTGAGATATTTGTAAACACAGTTATATAGATTAACTGTTACCGACTTTGAACCAAAAGTGCATACAAAACTACACAATATTATGACCAACGCTTTCAGAATGCTAATTTAATGAGCGTGGGTACAACAAAGCAGGACTTTTAATTCTTTGCCCCATTTGAATTAATTTGTGTATAATACTGAATATACAAGTCTTTGTACGAATTTAAATATTTAATTTCAGCAAACGTGCTAAACTAACCGCATTAAATGCTGACAGGCAGAAGAATTTAGGGCAAAAAGGTTAAGGAGGTTGGGAGAAGACAAGAGGGCAAAGGATACTGGTAGTTTTGTGCAAATAGCAATTTGAAAAACACCGAAAATATTGTTTGTTTACGTATGTGTACGGTTTGCAACGAGCTGAAAATGCACTCAAACGGTATGTGGGCCGCTGCTTCTACATTCAATTATAATCTAATCAAATGATTTTAATATCCGACTATTTTTCTTTAATGTTAAATTATTTTTATTGATTTAAGACATTTTTAAACTTTCCTGGTATTTCAGTTTCAGCCTTATAAAATAGTTTATAAAAGGGGTCATATTGTATATTCCCGTGTGAACGACCATGTCATTTTAAATTACGGTCTGAAGTAAAAGAAATTATTGAAGAATTGATGGTGATCTAATAGGATATGAATATTTCCATTAGTTCTAAGCAAACTCTTAAATATTTCTAAAATTCTGTAAAATTATTCAGATTAAACTGATAACAACTTTCGAACAGTTCAGTTAGATTGATTTTGAATTAATTTGATTGATTTTGATTAACGGCATTAAAAATCTAAGAAGATGATTAAACCCGAGAAAAGAAATAAGGCTGATTACGCTAGTTGGTTGCGTCGCAAAGATCAAACAGTAAATGAAACGCTGTTTGCTTTAAAAAATTGCGACGTAATAAAAGGTAAAAAAGATATGCGAAGCGATAAAATGATCAGAAACCGGAGCTATGAAAAAACATAGTTGAACTGTATAAACCGCAACACAAAAAACACAGCTAGTAAACAAATACATTGATGGATGCTTTGCTTGAAAAAAACTTAGACCGTCAATTTCCTGCACATAAATATGCAATAACAAATATTTGGGATTTTTTCGCAAAAAAAATTGTCCCGTTTTCACTTATTCAATAAGTTATTGATGGTCAATTATTAAGTTAACAAGCAAATCATCGAGATGTCTGGTGAATCTTAAATGTAGCGATAATTGGACAGTCTAGCTATGTACTCGCTTTCGTATATTATACATGAAATCGATGCAAAATAATGTTTCTCACGTTTCTGAGGCACAGTAATAGGAATTAAATCACTCGTTTGCGATATGGAAAACATAAATATAACATGCAGAAGTTTACAAAATATAATCGAACATTGGCCCAAAAACAGTGTTTTTGTAACGCTGTCTGTTCCTACTGATTTATTATTATTATTTATTATTTTATTACTGATAAATTGATAAAATAAATGTCAACAAGATGATTTACATGGCTACCAGGATTAAAATTATGCAAAACTTACCAGTAGCCGCATCCTGCCACCTGGAAGGAAAGGAGAAAAAGTATAACATTATTAGTATAACAGAAACTTACATGAAAGTGATTGAATAAAGTATGAATAAAGTCAAAATAAAATGAATAAAGAAAAAACCATAAATTTCAGTTAGTTCTCGAATATTGCAAAAAATGTGGGTTTTGAAAATATTTCTTGGCAGCTTTCCACCAGCTGGCGCCCCATTCTCAATCATTCCAGTATTGGAACAAATGTCTCTTGAGTTAAAATTATTAACACTAGAGTCTGAAATTTTTATATCCATGCCCATATTTCGATGGTCGATAGATGTGCGAGAGAGCTGTTAGAGCTCGTATTAGAGCTATGATCACCATGGAGGAGACACGTAAACATGGGCGATTTATTTCGTTCGTTCCTTCTGACAAACTAAATCTTCAGTCAGTTATTCAAAAGAAAACTGGCTTTGGAAATGCACCGCGATAAAGTGCTAACATCATCTAACTAATATTGAACAAAATGTTGCATTAATGGATTAATGGTTACTCACGCTGTATAATTTATGGCAGATAAATGTCCTGCTGGTAAGAAAAGCTTTTACAACTTGCAACCACAAACAGGTAGGTTTGAAATTAAATAAGATTTGTGTCAACTTTATCTCTTATTTGAAACAATAGATTTCAATAGATTTCAACGCCATTAGTCAAAAGTGTTTTTTACAAAACGATTTACACGCATTATCGCTTAGGTATTTCTGGATTATCAGTAACTGATGTTTAAAATATTAAATAGTTATTAGTAAAAAGTTATTATTATTAAAACAGTTTAGAAAGTTGACAAGACATTCTTTGTTTATAACCCTTCAAATTACAAAGTGTTCAATTCAGTTCACAAACAAATGTCAACCACTTAGATCTCCATTCGGCTCGTGAAATGTTTGCAATCATTAACTAAAAAATCGACACCTCAAAATAAAAAATTAATATAAGTAGTATCTAGCTTCAAACTAGGTCCTTCCTGGCTCTCCTTATAGTCATCAGAAAACTTTTCATAGAGACTTCAAAATATCGTTCTCAAAATATATTTGTTTCCGATAAAAAATAAGAAAGGTCCACTAGCCATAAATTAAAATTAACATATGAAAGGTTCAGCGAAATGCACTAAGTTAATTCAAACTAAGTTTGATTCAGTAAGAAACGTCCTTTAGTTCGGTAATGTTCCAGGGTAACTTTTTAGATTATCCCGTGAAACTTTGACGCATAAAACTCTAATAAGACATAAAATTACATGAAAATTTCGCATCGTTTCCAACAGTTAAACAGTTAGGAAAGTGGGATGGCACGTTCTTTGGACACAAAAGGCAAATGGAGCAAACAATATCTGAATTATTGCGTCCTCGTCGTTGCCACAACTTACTGCTTCAAACGAGGACATCATCGCAAACAAGCTAATTGCCAATTAAACACATGCCAAAGAAGACTGTCTCAATGGCAATACATCAAAGGAGTTGCACATCACGTGGAAGACAGTCAGACACACGCCTTCAACAAATCACTAGTGTGAAAAACGACACTTTCAAACAATCAAGACAGCCGTTAGTAAATTTTAAAGGAACGAACGTAACGTTGCTTTTCTAGGAAATAAGAAGGGAGTAATCAGCAAAGAAAAATATAAAAATCTGTTTTGTTTTGTGCACTGTTAGGGCCCTTATTGGAGTTTTAGTAGTGTAGTATTTTCTTATTAAAGTTACCTATATTGTTAGAGTTTTGCGTTTTCTCTTAAGTATTTATTAAATTGGACTGTGTGAAATTTCTTGGAAATTCTTGTTTCCAAGTATCATCATCCAGCCATGTAAATTATATTTTATAAACAATAGTATTTCTTAACTTTTTGATTGTTTCCACGTTCAATTGCATTGCTCTGTTTCATTTGTGAAGTTCTTTTACATCAGCAGTGTTGGCTTAGAAGGTGCAAAAAATAATCAAAACAAAATTTGATTATATAAGAACTGAGATATACAGGGTGCCTCTAAGCACATGCTCAAAAGGGCACTGCAATATTTTTTTGATCAAAAGAAAACGATTCGGCCTAACTTTTACTAAGAAAAAGGTGTGGCTTCTCTGCTATTGATAATCAAAGTTATTAAAAAATATGTATTTTTTAAAATATCGGGGATTTTGCTCCTATCTAAGACTCTTGTTTTGAAGAAGCAACCGAGTTCATCCTCTTTGGGTAAGAGAGAAATTCTTGAGTGTCTTGGCACAAAAACTACCAGAACTTTTCATTTGGGACCTGGAATCAACTGATTATTTTTCAGTTGATACACTGACCCTCTTGTGATATTCTTGTCCTTTTTGTAAAATCTTGTAGCATTCATAGTTTTTGCACCAAAATTTTTTATGTTGCAGTTAATGCCTGAAATTGTTAAATAGTGGAGAAACAGATATCTTTTTTAGCCGAAAACCCATAAATACTATAAGATTTTACAAAAAGGCCGAAAGTGTTGAACAAGGACTAGTGCATCAACTAAAAAATCAGTTAATTTCAGCTACCAAATAAAAAGTTCTGGTAGTTTTTGTAGCAAGATACTAAATAATTCCTCACTTGGCCAAACCGATTCAACTCGGTTACTTCATCAAAACACGAGTCTCCGATATTTCATAAAACTTATTTTATTGAAAGAGTTTGACCGTCAAAAGCAGAGAATCCGGACATTTTGTCTTAATAAAAGTTATGGTCTTTATTTGACCCAAAGAATGTCTGAGTGCCATTTTGCTCATGTCCCGTGGGCTCCCCTAGGCTCCCTGTATAATGTGTTTGATGCCTTTCATATAAAGTTTTTTTATGAAACTGATATTCTTTGTAGATAAGTTCTATATTGTTGAGGCGGATTCATTT